TCTAGAGCTCCTCTTCACATTAATAATCTGTCTGTTGTCCTCAACAGAATGCATTTCTTTGGAAAGTTGTCTCCTTGAATCAGTCTATTGAACTTTAAAACTTTAACTCATTGGCAAGTTTACTAGAAAGTAAGTCCGGCTGGCATCAAGATAATGTCAAGCGAAGCTCAGCTTGCAATGAGGGGTTGACAGCAGAGTCCTATGCAACTATTATTTAGGAGTAATTCCATCCAGTTCACTGAGACATAAACATTTTTTTCTATTGCCGTTTTAATGTACAGTAGAATATTCAGACAATTTTTTTGCTGCAATTTTGCTGCAACTAGCTAAGAATCTTGGTACAGGCCCTACAGAAGTGTGTTTGTTTGTGACAAGCTTCAAGATGCCACAAAGACATGTTGTTTTTAAAAGGGACGAAAAACCATTGGATTTATCTCAATCTAAAAGGAATGTTTTACGGCTTTTCTTTTGTATATGTTATGATGTTTTTTAAAGTGTTGTGAGCTGCTGTCGGGATCTTTTTTTTTTTTTTTAAATAGAAATTATGGGCTTGCAATCCAGACTAATCCCTATTTAGAGTTTATCTCTAATCATCCATGGGATATGAACGGCCTCTAAACTAGCTTGAGGCATGTTGTCTTCCATGGGCTTAGGTGGTACAAGGTTCCAAGCCAGCGTGATGATTCCGGTTTCCGGCTGGAAACTTTCCTCCCTTGAAACGGAGCCCTTTCTAAAGAAAGGGGACAATAGCCCCAAAGCCCCGGGCCCCCAGTACCGCCTCCATCACCCGGAACCTTACACGCCAAGAAGCCTCCGCAAGGATAGGAGCTTTTTCGGATTGCACAGTCCTTGCAAACCCTTCGACTTTTCCGTGGGGAGGCTTTAAAAAAATAAAATTAAAAACAGTTGCACTAGCTTCTTTTTCGCCAAGCTTCTTTGTTAATTTTCTCCTCCGGTTACTTCGCCACAGATTTTTTTTTGTTTTTAAGCTATTTTTGCCAGCCGGAAGGCGCAAAAAGGAGCAAGTCCCCGCATCACGGCGAGGCTCAGCCCGAAGCAGTTTTCGCCTCGCTAGATCTGCGTGCGCGCGCGTGCAAAAGGCGAGGGAGAGACTTCAAGCTTGACCTTCGCGAGAACTTTGCAGATAGGGAGAAAGGAGGAGGAAAGGGGGAAGGAGAGAGAGCGGGGCTGTGGGAAGCCTTTTTTTTTTTTTTTTCCTTCCAGACCCGTCCTAGGTCCCCGCCAGCCGCTGCCCAAAAAAGGGCCACGGACTCTTGACGAGGACCTTATCAGGCCCGCCGCTCCAATCCAGCGATTTGGGGCCAGGGGCTCCTGACATCCCAATCGGCCATCAATTTACCTTCCCGCCGCCCCGCTTCCCCATTTAGCTTTTAACGTCAAAAGCTACATTTTTGTCGGCTCCGGCCTGTCTACGGCTCTTGCGATTTAGCTCCAGGAATGATGGCTCCTGAGAAAATAGCAACAGCCCCATTACCGAGCAATTAAAAAAGCCCTTCCCTCCGCCTCCCTCCCTAGGCCCTTCGTCGCTCGCCCTCACCTTTCCCTGGGATCGCCCGCTGACCGAAAGGGACCATTTTGAAAGCCCAAAGTTTAGGGGTCGTTTTTTGCGGCGAAGGAAGAAAAGCTTTCCTGTAACTGACTGGTATCTTCTATTACTTATGCTCCTAGGTTTGAAATCTCATTGCCCGAAAAAGAGCTTTGAAATACACGAACGCTTGCAAGCAATATTGCGCCGTTGCCATCGGAGAAGGAAATGCTGGTTCTGGTAAGTTTAATCCATAGATATTTTAAACAATATGCGCCCGAACTCTTAACGTACGGGGCAGCTCAGGTAGTATCGTCCACCCCACGCCTCTACGATGATTTCCCCCCAATAACTATATCCGAAAAAAACCTAAAGTGAGATGCACCTTGGAAAACTCCGGACTCTTAAGTTGGAGCCTGTCTTTTCACTCCCAGTTTTCGTTTCGCGTTGCCTGAATGCGTGCGCGCCCGTTCACTTCCAGAAAGATAGAGGGTAAAATCCACGATAGAGTACAGTACGCCCAAAAGACCGCAATATTTATTGTTTCTCGGAGATCTTGGAAACAACTTCTTCCTACTTGTTCTTCGTGCTTTGCCTGAGCTGTGAACACTGGCGTGAGAAGAAGACTGCTTCCTCAAGTAATTTCTAATAAATTAACCAGACGCAGATTAGACTTCTCCCCGCTGTCTGGGAACTAGAAGGGTTAAGAAATAAGAGTGAATTTAGGCGGAAGCAATACCCTTCTCCCCTTATAAAGTGGGAAATAATTTAAGAGAAAAGGAGCGGCAGCTCCAGAATTCAGGGCATCTGAGTGAAAGCAAAATGTTTTTTTTTTAAATAAAGTCCAGTGTGAAGAATTGTGTTTATAGGTTGATGAAATCATCTTATATTGATTACATGCGATTGTGCCGGGAGACTAGACATTCTCCAGGCGGGAAAGGGCTGATCCGAAACTTTGGCGACCTGAAAATGAATGCCCAGGACAAACCCTGGAAAGGAAGCGGAGGCACGGTGGGATCCAACTTCAGCTGCAGTAGCAGTGATTTTTTCTTTTCTTTTTCTTTTTTTTTTTTAATGAGAAGGGCGTTTTCTCGAAAGCAAGTGCACCGGCCAGTCCAAGGAGTCTGACCCCAGTGCTAGAAGAGGGCACATCATTCTGGCTGGTTGTTCTAACCTCACAACCTTCCTGTAGTCAGCGAGGCCTGGCCAACGGGGCAAAACAACTGCCATTGAAAAGGGAGAGGAGGGAGCAGCCATCGGAGGACATTGGAAAATTTGTTATCTTTACTATAACTGACATATATATGCCTGGCTCTTTGGATCTGGAGCAGAGCCAACAGTGCAGAAGAGGTTTCAGTAGTCGCTAGGGGGTACAGATGCAAAAAAAGGAGCAAGAGAAAAGAAAAGGGAAAAGTTCCGGTCACTTGGTCCCTAACAAAGAGGGATCAAGCAAACGATCTTAAACCACTACCCCTTTTCGCCCCTCCCCCCCATCTGTGGCCATTAGGTTTTACAGCTTCAACCTGAAATTTTTATAGCAGTAGTTATGGAGATTGCTGGATTTTCTCTGCTTGATATTCTGATTTCAGTTCTACTGTTAGGTAACTTGTCTGTTGCCCACAGAGGGGAGGGGAGGTGTTTCTCCAAAGGCGATTTCTTACACCTCGACTTCCCAAGGCGTCCCACCAATTTGCCTTTATATAGCATTGTCCTCGCCCAAAGCAAGGACCAAGGCCCCCTTTTTTTCTCCCGATGTTGTTCCAAGTGCCGCCTCGCAAGCCCCCCCCCCCCGCCCCTCTTCCTCCCTGATCCTATGCAAACAAGCCAATTCTAATTCTCCAGCCTTTTGCCAGAGCATTATTATTATTTTTTTGGTAGGGTTAAAAAGAATAAAATAAAAAAGGCCTTTGGAAAATGTTCACTCGGGGAGATATCGCAAAGAGAGGAGAAAGTCACTCACATTTCCTGGTAAATGGCTCACAGACACATTTTCTAGATGCCTAGATTGTTACGTAACCAAGCCAACCAACCCACTTAAACTCTGCCGTGGGCCTCCCCCAGCCATAACCTCTCGGTGATTTGCCGTCAGAAACCGCTCCCAACAAACGCCTTGCAAGCTGGAAGGCCCACGTCAAGCAGCAAAGCCGGTGGTGTGGGGGGCACCCGCACTGTGATAAGTGTGAAAGACAGACCCAGATTAGCTTCCGTCTTTGGTTTCCTCCCTCTTTCACAACACCTTTCAAAGGCCACGGTAAATTATTAGTCCATCAGTAAAAATCACAGTACAAAAGTAAGCGGACCCTATCCCTCTCTTCTTCCCCAGAAAGCAAAGGAAAACTGGGTTCTGCAGTTCCTTTTTTCAAGGCGACTCTTACATAAATTCAAAAGGTCTTCTCTCTTTTGATCACAAAGGAATGTCCCTTTTGAGAAAAACCTGCTCCTCGCCAAAATCTCCAAATCATAATTGAATAAACATGTCCCGCCTTTGGAATTTCTTTTGGCCCTTCAGTTTCCAAACCGGCTGAGGTCACCTCCATTTGTTTTCCTAAATAAAAGCCTTTAAAAAAAAAAAAAAACAGACAAAACTACAAGCTGTTCTTAAGCACCTTTACTCGGCAGTGAATCTTAGGAGGGTTCAACGTTATTTTCCCAGCTAATCGTACACAGGATCGATTTTGATATATTTGTCTTCATAATTGAATTGTAGTTTTAGTTCCCTTTAACCAACCTCTTTGGTTAATTTCTAGATTTAAAAAAAAAAATTGAGGTTGGGTTTTAAAGCCTTTCAGGTTATAAAATGTAATTATTTTAAGTTTTTTAAAAAATACACTCAACGATCCAACAAATACTTACAACATTTGGGCCTTTCAATATGAAGTATTCAACAGTACCGATTGTAGTTTGCTTAATTTTAGTTTTAATTTTTGCTTTGCTTCCTTTAGAACTGAAGTGCAGATTAACAAAGAACTTAGACACTATTTTCTTCACTGTGGACAAGGGAGGGGGAACTCTGACAACCCCAAGTCCTACCTGGGGGGGGGGGAGATGGGGGGAAAACAACTGGCTTACAGTTATCATCCACAATCATTCAAAACAGCAGGAATTAAAGGTATACACTTCATATTACACACTAATGCCTTCATTTTTGATTTTGATTTCCTTTTGCCCTCTGGGTTCTATACAAACAAAGCAACATAACATTCATCACGATGGAGGGGGGGAAACAACACCCTTTGGAGATCGTGTTTCTCCTTACCACACCGGGAGTTTTCCTCTTCATTTATTTCACTGAACTATGGAATGCTTTTCTTCCAGGATCCACATTTTTTTTTTTTTTTGAAAGGAGAAAGACTAGGGGAGGGAAATTGCACATAAATAAACCATACGATTCCAAACCAAGAAGGAAAAGTCCTCAGCTCAGCAACCTCACTTGGAAGGTCCAGAGTCCCAGAAGGACCGGGTTCTCCGGTTCTCCGCTCTTCACGCTCTCTCGCCTTCACTGCTTGAGCTCCAGAGCCCAAACGTGCTGGGGCCAGCCAGTCCTTCCCTTGGTTTTCTTGTCGCTGCTGCTCACTGTGCTTTTCAAGATCTCGTTCTGTTTGGAAAAGGGAGTGAAGAGGAGAGACAAAGCCATTATCCTTCCTCTCATTTCTGGATCACTCCCTCCCATCTTTGGGGCCCCTTTGGCCAGACCTGGCAGCAGCAGAACAGAAATCCTGAAAATCAGATTCAGGGTTTGATTTTTTCACAAGCCGGTTTATTCTCGCGAGCGCCCGCGGTTCTAACTAACTAAGGTTGCAACCGTAGATATATTATCCACATGTCAGAAGGAAGCGGCTGTTCATTTCACCGTTCATTTCAACATTTACTTCTTTGTAGATGCCTGCTGGGGTTGCTTTGCAAGCCGGCTGGATCTCAAAGCGCCTGGGTGCAGAGCAAGGGGACTGCGGTCAAAGAAACTGTACTCTCCCTTCTCAACTTATGGGATAACCCATTCAGCTTTGTGTCTTCAGCCCGCCTGATCACAAATCAGAACAAAACACTGCCATGTAATCCAGATTTTAACAACCTTGGTGTTCCTTTCCGAGTGAGTCATGGACGCACACATACACACACCTACTTAAATTATCTTTATTTAAATCCCAAATTAAAAATTGCTTCTGATGATCATGGGGTCATCTTAATTGCAAACCAATAGCTAAATAGCCTGCAACTATATTTGCGATTGTACTGATGATATGAAATGCACAGACTGTGTAGAGTAAGCCTCTTAGTAAGCTTGCTGTAAAACGCACACACACACACACACACACACACACACAGCCTAGTCTCCAAATTCATCATTTTGCCACTCAGCTATATATTGTCTGCACCATATCTGCAAGAAAAATGGATGTCTCTGATACACATATGCTAAAGGTCAGCTTAATTGATTGTTAAATGGGCTACCTCAAATATTGATACAATAAGGAAATGTGTCCCCCCCCCACTTCGGTGGATAGTAGGTTCAGGAAAAGATATTTCCACCACAATCTGCCCTAAGCCATTTAAAGAGCAAATACTTAAACTGCCTGGTATTTTTTTTTATTCTAACTATAGCTCTACAAGGTTTAATTGACACTGTTCAAAAAGGTTCCAGCCTTCAAAAATTAAGTCACTTTCCATATATTTATCTCCAAAATTGGATATGTATTTTATATGGGACGTATTTCGATCAAAATGCCATTAATTTCTCCAGTGGATTTTTTTCAAGTGAATGTGGATTTTTGAGGCCCCAATCCACTGAATGCTCCAGCTGCTATAATTTTTTATATATGCACAAATTCCATCAATTTCAATGGGTTATAGCCATGCTTGCTTGAAATGAAATTCCAATATGGAATTTATTCATTTCTTTATCTTGACCCTTTCCTAAACTATAACTTAAAATGACTGTCAAGCTTGTTTGTAACCTTAATTCTTCTAGTCTGGTTAGGGATGCATCTTTTAGCTTACATGCCCTAAAACCTGACATTTATTTCCACAAATAGCATCCCAAAATATGAAAGAAAATAATCTGAGATTGTCAATTGATCACAGGGGGAAACTTGCTTACAGTCAAGCTTTTTCTGTTGCTTTCAGCTTGCAAGAAATCAAGAAACATGATAACTGGTAGAAGCGGAACGGCTTCCTATAAGCTATATAAGCTGTAGTTGGTTTCAAATAAAGTTGTGCTGCCATTCTAATTCTAACCCCACCATTTAGTTTATTATATGAATGGAAGTAAAAAAGGAGTCAGACCTGGATATTTTCTGAAAGAAATTGAGTAGTGTGAGCCAAGGGCAACTTTTGGAGACTTTGGTTAATATCCCATTGTCCATGTTTCCCCAGGCTTGTGCCTGCCAGCTGTGTTGTATCTTCTGTTGAGGATGATTGAATTTGTAGCTATCTGGAGGTTACCAGGTTGAAGAAAATTTCAATAACAGAATCACACATTTTGCAGTTTGCATGTTTATGTAGTGACAAAGAATACTGACTAGCACTCATGGGGCAGGGGCAGGGAAAGAATGTAAATCTGAAACTGCAATATCACCTGAAATTTAGAGTCAAACCATTTTAATTCCTCTGGGTTTGCAAGGCAGTTGTTGAGGCATAACAACAGAAGGTGTCCCACACCCTTTATTCCTTCTCCCAAATTATATTCCATTCCCGAGGTGTCTATAAATTCTAGGATAGAACTCTGATGTTCTTGGGCCCCAATTAACAAATTTAAAGTCAAAATGCGGATTGTGATGGGAAACTAGTAACGGGAGGGTTGCAAACTGATGGTTTCATCCTCAAACTGAAATTAGGAACTTTTCCCAGCCAACCCACATCTGAGCAAAAACTAAACACTTGGATTTAAACTGGAATGGAAACTTTTCCAACATTGGAGAGCTAAAGCAAGAAGAATTAGAGAAACAGTTTTTTTCCGTAAAGCTGCTGATTTTTTTTAAAGGAGTTCTTGGTAGATCCCTCTGCATATCATTGCTGAGATCATTCCAAAGAATTTCATTCAGGGTCAAATTTACAAAGATGTTGGCTCCCAAGACAGTTTCTACAAAATCCTAGTGGATTCCTTTAGCCAATTTGTGAATCCTTGACTAGTTTCACATGTCTGCAGTCCTAAAAGGCCTTGAGACTAAAAATCAATACAGCTGAAAAGGATGGGGTTTATTTTGAAGGATGAGTTGCAAATTCATCTAAAGAAATAGTTTTTCTTCCCCTTTCCCTCATGGACCTGTGTTAGTGACACAGCAACTCCTTAAACCTGGTCAGAAGGGAAGCGACTGCTCCAGCCAGTGAAACTATTTCTGAATCTTCCCTGTCTTTCTTGTTTTTTTAAAAAGTCGTCCTTAGGAATAAAGGAAGATGGATGCTTTATTATATATGAATTATAATATATTACTATCTGGAGGACCATTTCCAATCGGCCACAGGAATGCAATTCACACTTTGGGGGTGGGGCATGTTCTATCCATGGGCCTCCCATTTACCCGGCTCTGAACTCCCTAAAACATTATACAATGTTTAAACATTTTTTTAAAAAAATACACATTTACTTCAAATGGAGAACATTTTATTTGGAAACCAACCCCAAATCACCATCCCTTACGGCCAGCCCTGACCAGGGTCAAATTCTTCCCTCCTCAGTTTGGCTCCATGAGCTTGGCCTGGGATCGGGGACACCCGGCTATTGTTTCTCTGGGCAGGGCCCTCAAGCAAGCCTCGCCGCCCCCCTTCCAAACGCACTTGAGAGGAAAGGAAAGGAAAGGAATCTTCCTCCTGGATCCATTCGGGACCCCTAAGAATCGACCCGGGCTTTTGTTGCATGACCCGAAACTCTCTCTCTCTCTCCCCTGCCTCTTTGGCCCCTAAATCTCAGTCGCTTAAGGGCGGACTTAGCCGGATGCCTCTAAGAGGCGCGGCCCGCTCCGCTTCTGAGCAACTTTTTTCGGCTGCCCGTCCGAAGAGAGAGGGCCGATCTAAGCCGAGGGGGTTCGGCGCCGGTGGCTTTGTGAGCCTTCCCTTCCCCGCCCCATCCCCACCCGGGCCCGCGGGAGACACTGACCAGCTCCTTCTTCCTCTTGTCCTCCTTGAGGTCGGTCTTCTTGATCTCCGCCTTGAAGGCCTCGGCCTCGCCATTGGCGTCGTCCTTGGCCAGGAGGTCCATGAGGTAGGCGATGTAGCTGGTGGCCAAACGCAGCGTCTTGATCTTGGAGAGCTTGGTGTCGGCCGGGACGTTGGGGATGCACTCGCGCAGCTCGGCGAAGGCGCTGTTGATGCTCTGAGTCCTGCGCCGCTCCTTGCGGTTGGCCGTGCCGCGCCGCTTGACCGGTCGCGGGCCGCCCCCCAAGCCCGGCGGCCCGCCGCCGCTACCAGGGGGAGCCACGCCGCCCACGTAGTGGTGGGGATGCTCCAGGCCTGGCGCTCCGTTGGCGTACTCGGGGCTGTACGAGAGCGCCATGCTGTAGTCGGGCGGGGACATCTCCGAAGGGTGGCTGCTGATCAACCAGCCGTGGAAGTAGGGGTTCTCCTCATGGCTGCAGCGGCTGGCGGCGGCTGCTGCGGCGGCGGCGGCAGCGGCGGCGGCGAAGGGGTAGCCGTCATGGTGGACCACCGAATGGTGGGGGAAGCCACCTACCAAACTCATCGCCGCCGGCCTTCCGCGGCCGCCCGCCACCCCGGATCCGCTCCCCTGGATGTCCGCTCCCGTGAAGACCCCCGCCTTAGCACCAGCTCCTCGCCATCGGGCAGGCGCTGCCAAGTCCCCCGGGCGCCGAGAGGGCAGGTTCAGTCCCCACCGCCGCCCTCATACGGGGCCGGGAGAAGGCCTTAACTTTGGAAGTTGCAGGGAAGGCAGGCAAAAAAGAAGCCCCCGCTCCCCCAATGGCCTTCAGCTGTCCCTCCCTTGGAGCCTTCCGACTAGTTCGCCAACAAACTAGCCCGAAAGCGGGCCGAGTAAAGGGGGGGGGGGGTTTACTTACACCTGCGTTTTTGTCCTAACTTCCCCAGGTCTCCCTCCCCTCCGCCGCCCTGCTCCCCCAGGCCCGCCGCCTGGACGGGAACCGCGTCTCCTTCGATTAAAGCGTGAGCAGCATTTCTCCTCCTCTTGGGTTCTCCTTCTTCTTACTCAGCTCCCGGGAATACAAAACGCAGGCAAGTCCGTCTTCGAGGGGTGGAGCAGGGGAAATCCGGCGGTCTCCCTGCTCCGACGTGGGACCCGCTTGAGAAGAGGGATAAGGAGGGTCTCGAAAGAGGGAAGAAAGAAGGAGAGGAGGAAACGGAGCCCAACGCTTAGATAGAGGAGACTCGGAGCTGCGCAATGCACTGGTCGGTTTTCCCAGCTTGGTCTCCATGCACAGCTACATCTTTAGGGTAGTTTGGGTTAATATATGTCGTCAGAGGCACTTTAAGCCAATCGCTACAGACCGGGGCGGGGCATTTCGCTTTGGGCCGTAAAACGGGTTTTGATCTTCGCGCTGCTAATTGTTCAGCTTCTCCTTTAGGATTGGCTGCCGTTTCTATCCGTAATATAATTAAAACACACCAGGAAAAGTCTCTGCCCCCCCCTCCAGCATTCAGAGATTAATGCAAGTATTTAACAATGCTTTCCTGTAAGTATCTTCATGCCTGCCCTGTGTTTTGGTGGAAAATCTTATCTATTAAAATGGATTGAAAGTAAAACAAGACATTTGACTGTCTCAGTTCAGTTGTATTATTATAATATGATATTATGACGTAAGTATATCTCTATACTGCCAATCCATGAATAATATACCAGAATACAATAGTATTGTATGGTATGCCTACAGTTAAAACTGGTTAAATTATATAATATTACATTTACAAAGATGAGGGGAGAATGTCCGATGCTGAGACAAGCCATTTACATTGTCATTTACTGTCCCTTAAATGTAAACTCCGTTGTCCAGAAAGAAACCAAGACAAGATCTGGAGTATAATGAGAAGGGATCCAGCTATAGGACCATAATATCCTGAAATTTTTTAATGAGTCTCTTTTTGGAAGCTACTTTATTCCAGCCAATGAGACTTCTAGGTCTGTATAAGGTTCCTTTGATATAAAATGATGCCTGCTTGTTTGGTGTTATTCTCATATATAAACATAAATAAAAATACTATCCTCCAAAATAAAGAAGAAAGCAAAAAGGAAATGGGGGAGGGGGAGGAAAATAAAAGAAGGAATGGTATGCTCCAAAAAGGGGAGAACCGGGTCTGATATTAAACAAACAGTTTGTTGTTCAAAAGGTTGACTTGAGCGATGAATTGATGCCTTTCTTGCCTAAAATGATTTTAATCTTAATGCTTCCCCCCAGACTTTATGGTCCATTCAGTATCACCACTTGAAATCAGACGTTCCTTCATTTAGCTTGGGTAAGTAATCAAATCTTTTCAACAGCTCTTCAAGCTCTTAATTTTTATATTTCTGCTAAAAAATATTCTGTACTTTTTTACAAATAATTCAAGGGAGTAAACCTATCCAACACACCTTCCTCCTATTTTTCCCACAGGTACAACTCTATGGGATGGGTCAGGCTGAGAAAGAAAGTATGATAGATAACAAAGTCCTGATAAAAAATAGTATTCGTGTGTAAATATTTTTGCATATGAAATGTTGAACACACAGAAACAAGGAAAAGTTTATTTCATGCATGATGTAGAAATTTGAACTTAGCAACATCTAGCCTTGACCATGAGATACGATTGATATGTGGGTGAAAGATCCCCCCCCCCATTCTTGGGCAGAAGAGTAAGGTTAAAATAGTTTAGGATACAGACCCAAACATAAAGAGAGCAACTCATCAAATGATAATATTTATCATGGAATTCTTCAATGAAAACTTTATTTTTGTTTCTGATGCTTTACCCAGCATATGGGCTTAATCCTGATCACAATCTGTACAAAGAATAAAAGTTTCTTGGTATCTTGGTATAAAATAATAGTATAGGTTCTGGTTTATCAGAAAGAGGAGGAGGCGGCAAACAAAAATCCAGCCAAAACAGAAGAGGATTTCCCACTCCCAACTCTGGCTTTTGCAATAAGAGGGACCCTGTTTTATTTCAAGACTACTGCTACCCACTCCTCAAGGGGTCACAGCCAAAGGCAGAAGTGAGACAAAATGTGATGGCTGCAGACCTTAAAGTGGAGTATGCTAGGGCTCATATCTAGCTGTGGGACTTAGCAATAGCAATAGCACTTAGACTTATACCACTTCATAGCGCTTTACAGCCCTCTCTAAACAATTTACAGAGTCAGCCTATTGTCCCCAACAATCTGGGTCCTCATTTTATTGACCTCAGAAGGATGGAAGACTGAGTCAATTTTGAGCGGCTCAGAATCGAACTCTTGGATTGAGCAGTGAGTTAGCCTGTGGGTTAGCATTCTAACCACTGCGCCACCACGGACTTACTCCTGAGTAAGCATTCTTAGAAATGCATAAGTAATCTACATTTTTTCTGCTAGCAAGAGAAGCTTTGCTGTTAATTCGAAGTTAGAATAAGGCTACCTCTCATTCAACAGATTCAAAATTAAATGAATGGGTTTCAGATTCTGAATCTTATTCGTGGAGAACTTGCTGATTAAAGGTGGGGAACAGTTCCATTTATTTCACTGATTCGTTTTAAATAGCTAAATCTAACTCCAAGCATTCTGCTGCCACTAATGACTCCATTGTAACCTATTTGAGAAATCTTTGGCTCAATAGGATAAAAGCAGTGTGTGTGTGTGTGTGTGTGTGTGTTCAGGCCTTTTGCTTCTCATTGCACAACAGTCCAAAGGACAGCCGGTCCATTTCTACTGAAATCCCAGAAGAGCAGCAAATTCTCCTAAGGCCAGATAGACCAGAAACTGAACCGAGGAAAAAGATGCATAAACGTTATCTCTTTTGGCCAAACAAGCCAATCTGAAATGAATGCCTTTTCACACATGCGAATGCAGGGGAATCTTCATGCAGAAATGGAGAGTTTAATGAAAATAACCATCTAGGGCAGCAAATGGGTACATGCTAAATATGCCCCATATAAAGACGGTCAATGGCACCCATAGTCTGGCCTGCAACATGCCCCTGTTTAAATTTAGAATCCTCTGGTGGCCTGATATTAAGTCTCATTAAGGAGGGAAAGGACGGTGAGTGCAATCTTAATTATTTACAGGCACCTGAGGACTTTGCCCTGGTTTCTGAGGGAGCTTGGCTTGCCCTGCATATGGCAGATGGCTGTCAGGAAAGCAGTAAACGCAAGGAAGCCATTTGGAGCCCCCACCGGCAATTCGGTTAAATCCAAGCATTTGGCTTGATCCCGATTTTCCGGTTGAGGCATTAAGTCAATTTACACCCAGATCCTAGCCTAGTGCCTTGGAAGGAAAGCGGCCTTCTCCTCAGGAGCGTTCAGCCGCCACGAAGGTGTGCAGCCCCGCTGCGTTGAAGGGAAAGGCGGCGGAATTTCTTGCCACAACCCCAGATCAGGTTGTTGAGGGAAATCCGGGATTCCTTTCCTTTTAAATTAAATCCCTTCGCCGTTTTAGGATTTGCATTGCTAGTCGCTAAACGTCGGAATGGCCTCCCAGATGCGAAAGGAATAAAGCAGCAATTTGGTTTCCATAATATTGTGTTTTTAATCAGACGGCGCTAGTTAACCTGGCAGCAATGGCGGGTAACAGGGACTTATTTTTGCCCGCCCTTCTTGGACAGGACAAAACGCGGCTCTTGGGACGTTTCTCCGGCAAACTGCTGCGGCTGCTTTTTCGGAGTTCCCGTGAAAAAGTGCCGGCCAGAAACAACGGAGCGAAGGACCCTCCGAGCCCCCGCTGAGAGAGGAGCGGAAAAAAAAAAAGCCTTGCAGCCAGCGGCCCCTTTCCTCGTCTCCGAGCCAGGTGGCTGCTTGGTCGGAATCCTTCGGCTTCCCGGAGTGATAGTTTGCCCGACTGTTTATACTGCAGGGCAATTCGGCCTTCGCTTTCTCCCGTCGTCTTGAGCTTTTCCATAAAGAGCCATCTAGGCAAGTTCATAACCATCATCTCCTTCTTAACCAAGAAGGACTTTGAAAGATCGATAGAAATCAATAAAACGCACGGCCCGTTTGAATGTAATGTGCAGGATTGGAATAAGAAGTCGTGGTGGGGAGATTATCCTCTGTTTTAAATGGTTGCTTTGGGCTCCTTCCATGCCCCTATAAATTAATGTTTGCTTTTTTGGTTTTTGTTTCAAAGTAAAAATTTGGCAGATGCTCCGTTCACTCGTTTAGTACATCGACATTAATTTAGCAGACCTGACGTCCCGCACAGGCCACGCACTTTCTTTCGAGGTATATTGATTGCGTTCTGCACAGATCCACTTGGAAGTAAATCCCCCAGAGCGGACCAAGAGCTTCCACCGAGAGAGGCTGCGTTGTAGCCCAGTTCGGAAGCTTGTTAGGTGTTCGAAGAAGTCGGTTCAAAGGCGCGTATAGATTCGAGTTTGAGCTTCTCTTCAGTTAATTAAGAGGCATGCTATCAGTGGCTGGGAATACTCTGTAATAAACTATGAGACAATTTGGGGGTGGGGGAGGGGAGTTGTTTGGATTCGGAAGAAGTGAAATGAAGAAACAATAATTAAAAGGATTAATGGGAAAGAAAAGAGAAGTCAGAAAGAGAAAGTTGAGGGGAAAAGGATGAAAGGCAAAATTTCCTTTTCGATCTGGCAGTTCCATGGCCTGCACCCCGAACCCTCAATTTTGACTGTCCGATTTCTCTTCAAGGGCTCTTTGTTAGGGGTTTGGGCAGATTACAATCTGGAGCACGAAGGGCGCTGGGCAGCCCGGGAGG